ATCATGGCGCAACAGTATAAAAACCTGAGCTGAAATTGAGTGTTAACCAAATATGATTAGTCAGCATTTTTATTTGCATATACCGTATGCAACAAACTGTAATTAAACACAATCAACACTGTCAAGTGTGAAAACTGCTGCCGGAAAATATTGACAAGCTTATAGTCTTAAAACATGCCTAATCCAGAATTCTAAAAATACTTTGTGTGACACTTTAAACTGCTGTTTATGACAAACGAAGTTCAACCAACCTCAGATATTTGCTTTTAAGTGACTTTAAATTCTAATCCAGAGATGATTCATTTTTCGGTTTAGGCTTATGTATTCCCATGGATGCTCGGGCAAAAAAGCTGCTTTGTTTTCTCTTTTTGGACCTGCATTTTTTGTAAAAGATTTAAAAACTGTGAACTTTGTCAAATATGAATAGAAGCTTCACCTTGGCAGGAAAACAATAAAGTCAAAATGAGTTAGATTTTGGCCTTATTTGCGGGGAATGTACAGTGAGTCAACCCAAACTGTGAGTTGACTCTATATTTAAACCGCTAATCTGTATCTTGTAATGTGTTGTCAAATGTTTGTGTCATGACTTTGTGTGCGCTTTTATTTGGCAACCTGAGCCCTGCTCAGTAAATGTGAAATGTGCTGCGACAACACATCTGTTACAAAATCACCAGAGGTTTGAGGTGCGATGTTGGTGCAATGTTTCTTTGAGACTCCAGAAGACATAAGCAGCGTGTCTGCAGTCAAACCATAAGTTGAATCTATGGCCAAACCAAATACAAAATCGGAATACAATTAAAAAAAACTTCTTATCTTAGGCGGTGTAAACAAACTAATGAAGTGGCTATCACCTTCTGTCTCGGAGTGCTCCATTATAGCAAAAATGATTGTCACAATAATGTTGATCACAATTATTTAACATGATTACTCACTGACTTTATAAATGATAATGTTTTCTTGCCTTGAACTACAAAATGAAATTTCACTTTTTTTAATGTAGGAAAAAGAGGTACATCAGGTCATCTGAAAGCGATTTAGGACCAGGTTGTCCACAAACATGCAATGTCACATAAGGGAGGGGCAAACATCTAGGCCTAAAATGATAGAGACGAATCCCTGCAATAGACATTTCATCAACAGCAACAAGATACTTGTTCAACAGAATGGTTATATTTAAATGCACTAGATCCAAACTGTCATGAAAGGACATAACAAAAATGCAAAGTCCGGTCCTTTGAGCTCTCTCAGTCCCCCGTGGACCTCCCTCAGTGGAGACAACGGTCAGTGGGGAGCAGTGTTTGTCTTTGCACGATGAGCTTGTGTTTTAACATTAAAAATACTGACTGTGTACATTGATAAATAGGCTAAAGTGTAAGTAAGTTGGTCAAATTTAAAATAAAGCTTTTTGTTTCTCTCTTGTTCTTTAATTTAAAAAAATGCCACTAGAATGTATAAATAACTGGTAATATCGACTGAAATTAAAGACATTATTGTGATCAATTATTCAGCTTTATCACCAAGCCCTGTGACTATCATCCTGCCACACTACAGCCTTATCATGAACTGATCTCCACAACAGCCAGAGCCAACTATCCAGGACTAAGCACAATTCAACGTCTCAGCCGAACACAAACCCCAAACATCTAAACCTGCGGTTCCTCTCACACTGAGCATGATCACCATTTCAACAAAAATCATCATCAGCAGGGCAACACTAAGTCGTCTGTTGATGGTCTGACCTCAGCTCACCTTCACTCTCACTGAGTGAACAATTCAACGACTGGTGAACATCTGGGCTTTTAGAGAGGAGCAAAGCAAAGAGGTCTTTAAACCACAAGAAAAAATAAGAACATCTTTGCAAAACACAGTGTGGCTTCATAAACTAAATTTTCTTGTTTTCATATTCATTGCAGGTCAAAAATCAGAACTGAAAATAAAATTAAAACCTCAGCTCTACTTGTGCCTGGTACCAACTGACTAAAACAAAGCTAAAATCACTTTTCAAATCATTTCACCAAAATGTTTCATAAGTAATTCACTGGGAAAAACGCATAACAATGTGTCACGGTTCACGGTTGTTCTGTTCTTATAAAGTTTAGAAGGTGAGAGCAAAAAACTTGCCAAGTCTTCTTTGACTGAACTTTTGGTTAAATATTTTTGTGTAAAAAGTGTCAACAGTAAGTTCACTTGTTCAACAGTTAACACTGAATTTCGCTTTTTTTTTTTCTAAGTATAAATGTTCCAATCCACAAGAGTTAAGTCTGAACTCAAGCTGGACAGATTTCTACTCGGAGATGTTGCAGCTGACCCATAAAATCCTGTTAGAAGAAAAGTCCAAAGCTGCATCTCAAACAGGTTCGCTCCACCTCGCTTTGCAGATCTAACATTTGAGCAGAGACCTAACAAACACATGCATTTGGGACAGAAAGCCATATTGCATTGCAAGAACTATGACCAAAAAAACAAAACCCCTCTCATCAAATCGACTAGCAACAAGATTCCAAGTGTCGTCTTTCTCAATGCCACATAAAGCTTTCCCAGGTGTTGAATTTTAGTTCTGAATAACAAGAGCTGCAAACAGCAAATACATTAGCAGTGAATCACTAATAAATCACTACTAAACCAACATTTTTCTTGTTTGGATTGTCAACAAAGCCCTTCAGGCCGCTTTGTCAGATTCTCCTTCAAGCGCTTTTGATGGCAGTTGTATGATGCTGCAGATAACATACTATTAAAATATATGCTTCTATAAAAGTTGAAATATGTGAAGTATCATTGGTATTTTATTATTACTGTGGAGTCTACAACAGTCCACACAAGAAATCTCCATTTTTCATTTTAATAGGTGCAGCATCCTGTGAATCCCACCTTCATTATTATTTTTTTATTATACAATGAATCTCTCATCCTATTAACAACATAATACATTCCCATCACACTTTGAAAGAGCTCACAAATCTATATATTTTTCAGTCATATGTACAGTTGAAACCACGAGTCGATTTGCTGACTCATTAAATTGAATTACCAGCTACCTTCACAATCAATTGATTGTTTCAGATTTGATGCTTCTTTAATGTCTATTTGGTAGCAAACTGAGTATCTCTTTGGGTTTTAGATAGATTTGGTAGATTGTAATGCAGATTTCTTACCTTCTCTGGCCATTTATAGATCAGGAAATAATCTACTGATTAACTGAGAATGAAAATAATCAGCAGCTGCAGCCCCACCGCAAACCCTCGCATTAGATTTTGAAAATAAGTAAAAGCAAGCAAATGTTGAAGTTAGAGCAGCTGTGACCATCTCTTCATAAAGAACTGCAGAAGGGGAGGAAATAATTTAAAACAGGAACTGGTAAGCCATATAGTAAGACCACATCTGGCTGTTTGATGGAGGCAGAGGGTTGTAGCTCCACACCTGCTCATTACAGAGTGTGTAGCTGAACAGCAGCTGGCACAAAGGAGCACTTATAGATCCACAGATCCTGGGCAGGCTGTGGAAACACACTGGGGAAAAGACTAAAAATAACCCAAGACTCTGATCGATAACTGCAAGATATGCTCAAACTGTGCTTTACAAAGCTAAATTAAAACACAAGCCGCCTAAGAAACACAGTGAAATCAGGTGTGTCAAAGCGTGGACGATAAAATGACACTTTATTAATAGCTATTAAAAAAACGTTTCTTTTAAATTCATAAGATGCGAACCGGCATTAAAGCACATGACAAACTCCATGCACGCTCCCTCCTTGGTTCATAAACAGCCTCTTGTATTCCTGGATAATGGAGCCCCTTTGCCCCACATCCACCTGGGATCTCGACACCTTCGTCACTGTCTGCAGACCTCCCCTGGTGGAGGCTCTTGCAAGATGGGTTTCACGGTCTAGAAACACATCGTATGTCCTCTTCTATCTCCAACTAAGCAACACTCTCCGAGGGCTGACCGACTTGATGTTGGGTGGAGGTCGGTGCAGGTCTCCACGAGGTCGGCCACTAGAAACCTCATGCAGCACCACAGCTTCACCCTGCATGTGCCTTTATGTTTTCTTTATTTAATGTTTGTCAAGGTGAGGTCAGTGCTTGATCCTTACTTATTTTTACTTAAGAGTATTTTCTTGTTAACACATGGTTAATTTCAAAATAAAGTTTTATCTTTAAAAAAATAAACAGAAAAAACAGCTGATTTAATAATATGCAATAATTCTGAATATTAACTGAAATATAGGATTTACTAGTATCACATTATTTAGCTTCATATCCAGCCCTTCGTCAAAGCGCACAGGTGCAGACCGGCAGCCCGAACATGTAACTGACATAACGGCTAACCGGCTGCCAGAGAACCGTTAGACGGAGCGGCGTGTTGTGCTGCGCGTGTATCAACAGGTAAAGAGTCCCAGGTATCACCCAACAGGCCAGGTAACGTCTCAATCACACACGCACACAGACTCGGCCTCTGCTCAGACATGAAACGACGTATATAAAAATCAAGTTTATGATGAATTTTCCCTCCGTATGTGGTGTTCAAACATGAGCCAGCAGGCAGGACGCCGCTGTCAGATTCAAACCGCCTGACAGTCTGGAGGCTGTCGGCGCGGCAAATATTCAAGCTAACGTTATTTTATTTTATTTTATTTTACTGAAAATACAACCGAAGAAGCCGCACAGAGACAGTTATCAGGCTGTAAGGACAACCGCTGCCTTCGTGTTTTAAAATAAGACACAGCGGAGGAGGATGAAGTGAAAGCCGCCCCGCCAGGAGCTGGTGTTTCTGGAGAAAACGGACCGTGCAGCCAAAGCAGCGTCTCAACATCAACATAAACACGCTCGTACCAGGGTTGGCGCTCCTGGATTCAATAAAGTTGCTGCTGCTTTCGTGCCATAAACACCAATTCTGAGCTCATCTTAGCGCCCCGAAGCTTAAATCACTCAGCAACTGTGTCACTCCACAATATAACGCCTCGCAACCGAGTAAATTTATAATGATTTCAGGCTGCGCCTTACCTTCAGTTCCGCACTCTCCGCCATCTTGTATTTCTGTGCGCAGGCGTGGTGAGGTGTTGTCACATGATTGGGACGCGCAGAGCGCTGCGTGAACGCGCACACAGCGACAGCGGTGCGTTCAGGAACTCAAATAAAGAGAGGACAAACAGGATTAGAAAGTTGGAGAATAGAATAGAATAGAATAGAATAGAATAGAATAGAATAGAATAGCAACGTCTTTTGACCTTTCAAGAAGTTTAACAAATTGCTTAACATCCAAGTACAAGTACAAGTAGTTCTGCTTCTTTTTCTTCTTCTAATTAATATTGTTACTATTGTTATTATTGTTGTTCTTGTTGGATTTATTGTTGTTATTATTGTTGTTTATACTCTAGATATATAGAATAGAGTTATTTTAGTCTATTTTTTTCATTTAATGGAATTTTATGCAACCTTGGTGCAAACAAACACCTGTCGTCATTGTCTACACGTGTCAGTGTCATACTAAACTCTCCTGATCATAGGATCCCTCTGATGTAGCTCACCAAATATCTCAGCTGAATTTTGTTCTGAAATTTCCTATCTTTTAATCCTTATTTATGTGTTTAAATTTTGTGAATATATATGTTGTTAGGTTTCAGCATTAATTATTTCTGGGTATTTTAAAAATATTATAAGTAATAAACTTTTTAAAATATATATGTAAAGTTATATATGTGTTCTAAAAGAATAACGCACTCCTGAATCAACTGTAAAGATTTTTAATAAGAATGACCAAAACAACAGACACACGTCAAACAATATCACTGATTTGCTATCCGTTCTCTGAAGATTACATGTAATCATTCAGAAAAACAGTTTCTCTTAAAAGTTACTTTAACACTCTTTTGGAAGAGGAAGAGAGTCACTTGATAAACGTCTCTTATTGCTGCAGAGAAGAGCTTTTGAGCTCCTGAGTTGGAGCATTTTTAAGTGTAATCTGTGCTCCGATCTCGTTCTGCATGATGCAGTTTGCTCATATAAACATTATTAGCAAATTGCATTTACTGATTGTGAGTTGAAGCTGAAAGCTGCGTTTTCCACTGGATTTGTGATGCCAGCATTATTACTCCAAATGCAGGTCATCTCTGATTATAACAATGCAGACCAAACAATCTAATCTCATCTCCGTCTCAAATGTCAGCAACAACTGATGTCTTGTTTTCCATCTTAAAAACGTGCCACACCTCAGCAGGCTCAGCTCATATTCCTCGAACTAAAGGCCAGCAGTGCTAACATGAAGGCACATCTGATTCAGATCAGTCAACTATGTGGGTTAAATCATTCTTCACCAACAATGACTCTAATCTATTATTTCACTCAGCCTGTAATCAATCTGCTGGTGATTTAAAGTTCTGACTGTAAAAGCTCAGAATGAGTCTGAAAAGTCATAATGAAACCACTTGTCTCCTGATAGAACCCCAAATGTAAAAAATACATATAAATAATGCATTTATGTTATTATTAACTCAGTTCTGTCATGTGTCTGTGTTAGTTGTAAACACTAATCTGCAACTTTACCTTTACGTTAACTACACAGCAATGAAAACCTATATTTAAAACCCACTGTACCTTCTTGCAGAAACACCGTCCACATGATTCTGGACAACCCAAAGACTTCTGTGAAATACTTTCCACCTGGGATTTAGTCAAAACCTCTGACAGCATCTTCTGTAGATTAGAAACTAGCAACGTGTTCAACAGGTAGCTAAAAGAGGGAAGCTGATCCTGCAGAGAATGTTTGCTGTTTAATTGTGTATATTTTCAGTCCTTCACTAACAAATGAGACAAAAATCTCAGAGACCGACATTTTAAAAGCAACTCAGAGAGCGACAGGGAACGTTCCCATGACACTGAATAACTTTAGCTACAAGTTCTAATTTTAAAAAAAAAAATATATATATATACAAACTGTTTTATGTTCAAATGTTCAAAGAATGTTTGAAGAAAAATTCAATCTCAGCACAGGTCATGTTTGATGATAACAATGAAGGAACATTTTCAAACCAACATTCAAAATTAGCTTTCTTGATGTTATTGAGGCCTCTGATCATTTTTATAAAATGTTCCTGTAATGTGATATATAACGGAGAGTGTTCTTCTATAAAACACTCTCGCAATGTTCCATTATAACAAAACAACGTTCTCAAATCAACATTCAAAAAAAAATTTTCTAAATGTTATCGAGGCCTCACATGAAGATTTTTTTATTTTTCTCATACAGAACCTTTTAAAACCTTCCTGTAGTGTGTTTATTAAAGGTGGAACATTTCGCTTTTTTGTTGAGGGACATTATGGAACATTCTTCTATAAAACATTTCTACAATAATAACAAAGGAAGGCTGCTCTCAATGCAACATTCAAAAATGTTTTTAAGATGTTATTGAGACCCCAGATAACAGAATGTTCTTTATAAGATGTTCCTGTAACATGATATTAACAGATACCTCACAAACACCCATCTACTGCCCCCTGTTGGAGTTCTCCCAGGAGAACGAGAGGGTGACCTCTCTGTGACTGCGTGTTGCGGAGGGGAGAACTCTGACTGTGTGTGTGCACCAAACAGCAGTTCAGAGTATTCAGCCTTGTTGGAGTCTCTGGGCGGTATCCTGGAGGGGTGCTGCCTGAGGACTCCATAGTTCTCCTAAGAGACTTCAATCCTCACATGGGCAATGATGGAGAAACTGGAGGGGAGTGATTAGGAGGAACAGCCTGCCCAATCTAAAACCGAGTGAAGTTTTGTTATTGGACTTCTGTGTTAGTCATAGAGTGACCATGACAAACACCATGCTTAAACATAAGGTTGCTCATAAGTGTACCTGGTACCAGAGCACCTTAGGCCAAAGGTCGATGATTGACTTTGTAGTCGTGTCATCAGACCTGTGGCTGTATGTCGCGGACACTCAGGTGAAGAGAGGAGCAGAGCTGTCAACTGATCACCACCTGGTGATGAGTTGGATCCGATGGTGGGGGAGGCTGCCGGACAGACCGGGTAAACCCAAACAGGTAGTGAGGGTCAACTGGGAATGTCTGGCGGAGGCCCCTGTCTGTGGGGTTTTCAACTCCCACCTCTGGAAAAGTTTCTCCTGCATCCCGGGAGGTTGGGGACATGGAGTCGAAGTGGGCCATGTTCAAAGCCTCCATTGCAGAAGCTGCCATTAGGAGCTACAGCCAGAAGGACACTGGTGCCTGTCGTGGCAGCAACCCCGAAACCCGCTGGTGGACACCAGCAGTGAGAGAAGCCGTCAGGCTGAAGAAGGAGGCTCGGGGGTCTCCGAAAGCAGCAGGCAGATACCCCTCGGCCAAAAGGGCTGCAGCTGCGGCGGTTGTGGAAGCTAAAAATCGAGTGTAGAAGGAGTAAGGAGAGGCCATGGAGAAGGACTTTCGGTTGGCCTTGAGAAAGTTCTGGCACACCGTTGGCCACCTCAGGAAACACATGCAGGGCTTTGCCCAGGCTGTGTACAGTCACGGGGGAGAACTGCTAACCCAGACTGGGGACATTGTTGGTGGGGGGGGAGCAAGGGAGTGTAAGTATCTCGGGGTCTTGTTCACGAGTGATGGGTAAATGGAGCGTGAGGTGGACAGGCAGCTTGGCGTGGCTTCAGCAGGAATGCAGGCACTGTACCAGACCATCGTGGTGAAGAGAGAGCTGAGCTGCAAGGCGAAGCTCTAAATTTATCAGTCCATCTATTTTCCAACCCTCACCTATGGTCATGAGCTCTGGGTAGTGACCGAAAGAATGAGATCGTGGATACAAGCGGTCAGAATGAGTTTCCTTCACAAGGTGGCTGGGCTCAGCCTCAGAGATAGGGTGAGAAGCTCAGACATCTGGATGGAGCTCGGAGTAGAGCTGCTGCTCCTTCGTGTCGAAAGGGGCCAGTTGAGGTGGTTGGGACATCTGATTCAGACGCCTCTGGGGAGGCTTCCTTTCGAGGGATTGTATTTCTCGGCATCCCCCAGGAAGAACTCGAAAGCGTGGCTTCGGGGAGGGACATCTGGAATGACCTGCCCCTAGTTAAGCAGAAGAAAATGGATGGATGGATGGATGGATGGATGGATGGACTGTATGACTTGAACAGCAGGATAGTGTAACCTGGAATTTATATGAAGTCAAACATCCTGAAACAAAATAAAAAAATAATGGCTTGCACTTGCACCCTGACCTTTGACCTCTACGTAGCTTGAAGGAGAATTTAACAGAAATAACAACCAGAATGTCAACTGCATGGTACAAGTGGATCATATTTTATATTTATTGCTAGGTGGCTTTACTGTATTCTTACTTTATTTTCATACATAAGCTGGCCGACATACAGAGACAAATGTGTGTAAATGTTTAAGATCATCATAAGTGTATTAGAAAATGTGAATTCTTGAATGTGTGTCTTGGGTGAACCTGCATGCTCTGGTCGTAAAAGCTGCACAGCTACATTAAAAATTTCAATACAGGATGGATTCTGATCACAAATATTAATCGTTTCAATAAAAAGTTGGAGTATGAGATGATCAAAAATATTGCACAGAGAGTGCAATGATGGAACGTACACTCACTCAAGTATGACTCTTGAGAACAGTTTGACTTTACTTGAGAATGCACTCCTGGTTTACTGTGTTTCAGAGGGAAAGATTTTGCTTCTACTCCACAACTTTATTTCACAGATTTGGTTACATTACAAATTATTGCCTTTGCACATCCACACTGGTGTTTGCAGTTGACTGTGGATGTCTGTGGAGCAACGATGGTTCAGTTCCAATAAATCTCCCAGTCAGCTCTGACAGTGAACCAGCACAAACACAGAACCTCCCCTGAGTGGAACGCAGTCATCATTAATACCCCAAATCAACATGTCTGCAGACAGTTTGTCAGTTTACTACCTTAAACTAATGCAACAGTCCTGGATTCCCTCATTTCAGGGTTAACAGGCTCAGAGTTTTCACTAAACCTGCTTTGTGAAACGGACCCCTGCAGTAAATCCAACTGTCATGAAGTTGCTCAGTGT